GGTGGGGTGGGGTGGAGGTGGGGCTGTAAAAGGATGAGGAAGTATCTAAGCAGCAGGTTTTTCTTCCCCTTACTCTGGCGTGGGGTGGGGTGGGGTGGAGGTGGGGCTGTAAAAGGATGAGGAAGTATCTAAGCAGCAGGTTTTTCTTCCCCTTACTCTGGCGTCCTTCAGGTGGATGACTCAGCTGGAGAAGAGAGTGGCTTCCTGAAGTGGAGTTTTCCAGTTTGCCTTGCCCTTCCCCACCCCTCCAGTTCCCAGTAGAGATGGAACCTACATTAGTCCATAATTCAACACCCTCCCTCACCACCCAACATACATGTACATACATACACACACACACACACACACACACACGCACACACCCCACTAACAAAAAACCCCCAGAAAAAGAAAAGATCTTCTTTTTCAAGTCCAGGGCTCAGACAACAAAAGAGGGGGCTGGGACCCTCTGCCTCACTAGTAATTCCAATCCAAATATTTCCCACAAGAGCGCCAGACAAAATTAACAGTAGAGACTCAGTTGGTGCCCAGCACGTGGACAGAAGCAGTCTGGGGACGCCCTTCCTCCAGCCAATGCCCTGACCCCTGCCAGTAGCCGCATCGACGCTCTGGGAGCGGTTTTTTCATTCTCTGTCTTTACGTCTGGCCCCCCGTACGGAAGAGACTTCTCCCTGAGCCTCATCCCTTCCCCCCAGGCCCCAATTTCTCTTTTACCCATTTAGGTACATCCCTTGCTCCAAAGCAAACAATTTATTCCAGAAAACTTGAAAGCAGCCCTGATCTTTCTGGTGAAAATGAGAAGAGGGGCACTATTGACTCGCTGAGGCTCTTTGAGGCATTGAGCTGGAGCTTCAAGGTTCTCCCACGGCCGTAACTGAATCATTCATGGATATTCACAAAAAGCTCAGGGCTCAGCCTTTCTCTCTCAGCGGGGCTTGACCCCACAGATAAAAAGTCTTCCTGTTAAGGGTAGAGTGAAGACGCCGAGGATACAGTTTGCACTTAGAGATTAAGAACAGGAACACTGGGTAAGATGTAGTGAGGGAAAACATCTTGATGGGGTGTCATGAGAAGCCAGGGGCTGAGTCCTAACTAAACTACTTACTAACACTAGGCATTATACTAGCAAACTTTCTGGGCTTCAGTTTCCTCATTTCTAAAATAGTAATAATGGTCCTTTCTGCCCAGCTCCCTACACCTACGTAACAAGTTTCCAATGACCTAGTTGGAATGAGGACTGTCAGTGCTACACAAAGTAAACTATCACTATTCCTCAAATTTTAGAGAATATGCAACCGAGACAGCTGTGATAGCCCTTTTTTTTTTTTTTTTTTTTTTTTTAAGTAAAACTCATCCTCAGCTTCCAAACAAGCAGCTCTGAGCCATACTGCCTTACTCCTTGGCTGGTGAGTTCAGAGAACCCAAATTGGTACAGATGGGCCATGTTGGGGTTCTTGGATTTAGCACCGTTCCCTTGTACTAAGAAAGTACTCACTGAGAGGGAAATTTATGTGGCTTGGGCAGGTCACAGTCTAAACCCACAACCACTTTTCCCCATGTGAGCCTCAACCAGCAGCTAAGCCTGTCTAGCCTCCCTTTAGCCCCTGCTGGCACTGGCTGAGACTCTTCGTTGCACAGCAAGAATGTTTCCTCCTCATTTCTAGGGTCATAGGTCATACCTTATAAAGCGGCCACAATCTAAGACCAGACCAAAGCCAACATCCCTCTCTACTTGTGGGCTAAATTGTGATGGAAAGTGCTCTGAGCTGTGTTCTAGAGCTCGCTCTGCGGCTGATAAGCAGTGTGACCCCGAGGGGAAGTAAATTCCCCACTCAAATCTTGATTTCCTCATAGGCACGAGGAAATCCCCGCGGGGGCGGGGATAATAATTATTGCTCTACCTACATCATAGAGGGTTGTGAACAGTTGAAGGAAGTAGTGAGTGAATGTACTTTTGTACAAGACTGAGGAACTAACCTGCTGAAACAACATCGACAGAGCAGACATCTACGTTAACAGAAAAGTAAATCACCTCCCAACCAGTTAGCTGTTACGGGAGGAAAGACTGCTTGTGGTGGCACACATCCCAGCCACTTCAGCCACACGGAGTGTTCTGCTCTCAGTTGCCCAAGGTACATCTAAGTCACCCCTTGAGTTACAATTATCACCTTCACTTTTTAAAATTTTCATTAATCTCACAAGTTGGAGGCAGAAAGCATACACAAATAGCAGCCCAAAATGTAAACTGTGGTGTTTCCAGTGACAGATCATCCAACAATTTCACCATCTGCTACCTTTCATAGAAATTTAGAGCTGAGGGGTCTCTTAGATCACGCTTGACTATTAAGCCCCTGCGACTCAGTGCTTGTTTCTAGACTCCCTATCTGGCAGTGCGTCACAGATGGGAGTCAGAGCTGCCAGATTACAGGGAGTTTACTGCTTTTTCCAGGGAAGTCCTGCCTCACTTGGGACCATGTGCAGGAGGCAGTGATCTTCCCCAAAAGGTAAATGGTGTAGAGGTTGAAAAAGGGAGTCCCCTTTCCTTCTGTGACTCCCAGTCACTAAGGGATCTTTCTTCCTCCAGAAGAACTAGTTACCTCATTTCATATTTGGTAACCAGTTTACATCCCTTTGTACCCTGAAGTCTTGGGGATGATGCAACTGAGAGGTGGCAGGAGAGGAAGCACGAGTTCTAGTATCAGAGAAAGATACTGCTGAAACGGGTTTGTTAGCACTCACGAGAACTGGGGTAAGCAACCCCAGAGGATACACTGCAGACTTGCTAGAAAACAGGAACTTTCCTAAAGCTGGCTTGAGACTGAAGTGCTTTTTATACCTCTATTACACTTCAGTCTGCCCTACTCTGATCATGAGCTCCTGGAGGGTAGGGATACTGCTATGCGTTTTAAAGGTTGCCAAATTGCTGACATCTGCATTAAAACACACATGCCCACTTCTCAGCTTAAGCTTCTCAGTCATCAAAAAGAATCCAGAACAGTATCACAAAAAAACCGCACAGGCCAAGGTGTACCAAGGTATGGATTCAAGTCTTGACACTGTCATTTACTAGCTGTGTGACCTTAGCTAAATCACTTCATTTCTCTGGGCCTTCATACCATAAAATGCAAACTATCAACTATCCTTGCTGGATTTTGTGAAATATAACAGATGTGAAAGCATATTATGATATCTTGAATTAATACCTGACTACTAAAAACAAGAATGTTCCTACCGTCCAAAAAACAAGTTTCTTTGGAAAAAGAACTCTGCCTACCTGGAAAGCACTCCTTCACCACATTTAATAAGTAAATAAATCTTGGAATATCATAGGCTTCTCTAGCTCCAGGATCCTGAAGGCACATAGACTCAACTGCAGACTGCTTCTGGTATTTACATGAAGACTTATGTCCTTGCTTGTCCTAAGAAATCTCTCTTGCCTTGCAGATTACATGAAAGAATCCGTGTGCAGTTCTAGTACTTGTTCCTTGAATAGCAGTGAAAACCCTTACGCCACAATTAAGGACCCACCCATCCTCACCTGCAAGCTTCCAGAGAGCAGCTATGTAGAAATGAAGTCGCCTGTGCACAGGGGGTCTCCGTACACAGATGTGCCATCCTTGTCGACATCCAATAAAAATATATATGAAGTTGGTAGGTGTCTCAAATAAATAACTCAGTGAAATCAGGGCACTAGTACAGCATCTGAAGTAAAAACAAGCCCTCTCCACTCACCCTGTCTCAACAACACACACTTTTGTTGCTTTTTAAGGAATCCAAGGTGAACTACCTTTCCTAGCACTGCCCTCTTCTCTAGTGCAGGAGTCAAATTCTTGTGCCAACTCTGCTTTAAAAACACTAGGACTAATACGAAACAAACACTGGGGGTGGGGAATGGACGGGTGTACACACACACACTTCACGTGATTGTTGACACAAATCTCAGTTTTAAAAAGAAAGCAATCAGAACTGACATTTACAAGTTTCTAAATCACCCTTCTTCTATCTTCTTCCAATCTAACCATGTCCTCCATTGATAAAAGCCTCTAGGATATTCTGAATCTCTTGGTGTTGAGCAGAGGTTGGGATGTTGACAGCACATTCACTCATTCCATCTCCTGAGCAAGCCTCAGTCCTAACCCACATGCATTTGTCACAGATTTATAAATGCCCAGCTAGCTCTTCTCCCCAAGTTAAATAGAACTCTCTTCCCCTCTAACAAGGCAACCAAAGCTAATCTGTTCTCTGAACTCATTTTCCACTATATTCCTTAGAGCCCACAGTCAGCGTGGTCCAAGAAGGCCGCGGTCATAACTCCAGCTATATCCAGAATCCATACGACCTACCTAGGAACAGCCATATTCCTGGTCATTATGACCTCCTCCCAGTAAGACAGAGCCCTGCCAATGGGCCCTCCCAGGACAAGCAGTCTTAGAAGGGATAAGCTTCTCTCTTGCAGCGTGCTCTGCTGAATATTCTCTGACTCTCTGAAAGAAGACAATCCCTTGACTCGAAATAATGGTGCAGATTATCTCCAGCTGCATGTTAGTTATTACGTTCACCTGGAACTAACGAAGAGTTTCCAAGTGGGACTGGGGTAATTGTTCAAGGAATTCTGTTCACAAAGTCAAATCCTATCACCCATCCCCATTCCCAAATGCCCTGGATTATATGATTTTTAAAACATTTTAAAATAAAGCTACTCATCAACATCAGCTAAATATAGTTAAAATATCTATCTATCTATCGTTTTTTAATCTGAAACACAATGCTTAAAAAGCATGTAGGTTTTACAAACCTGGGAGGGGAGAGGATTACTTTAAAGCACCTGAAATGTATATGTACTTTTGGTTGCTGTTACCACCATCTGTTTTTATTACTGAAGATAACTAGTACGTAGACATGAACTGTTCTAATATCAATCCTAAAGTACCTGTACAGTATGTCTGGTCCATCAAATTACAACAGCCAAGTTTACAGAGTTTAGTATATAGTTTAATGCTGACAACTTTCATTTTTAAAAACAAGACTTTAATAAATACAGATTAACTTTCTCTCTTCTGCCCCATAGTGACTGTAGATTGGGAAAAAAAAAAAAAAAAAGACATTTCCAAAGCACAGCAGTCTCTTTCGGTCTACCACAGTGATTTCTAGGGTAGCTTTAGAAAATTTTGCCAATTCAAAGTTCAAGAATATTGCAAGTCAGTCTTGGCCTTGTCACATCTCCTTAGTCCATCCAACACCTGAGTTATTCCATGCGAAACAGAGCTCTAAGATGATGCTTTAAGTAAGCAGCCATAGAATGGTAAGAATTAAGTGTCCCTAAAAATGGCTATTTGGCCTCCCCAATGTATTTGGTTGGCATCCTTTGACTCAGAAGAGTACTTGCATTCAAGCAATTCTTCATAAATCTTGAGCTTGATGTAGTATGGAACCTAAAAGTGTAGAAGAAATTAGACAAATGTGGATACAGCAAGTTTACGCTGCTTAAAGTACATTATGCTTTTTGATGGAATGCTTTTTAAATGAAATGATCAAAGAAAGAATGGACTGTAACCAGCTGCTGTAACAGGATGTAAAAACTTTACAGTAAAAAGCATGAGGATATGAAGTGCTTCTACCTTCTACCTTAAAACCACCACTTACTGAGATGACCAACTATGTATTATAACGAGCTAATACTCCAGATTCCACTACTGACGAACATAGGTAAACTGAGGCTCAGACAAGTCAAAATGGAGCCAACTCCCAATCCCTAAAGAGGACCTCCTCACAAGAATTAAGAACAAAAAGGGCAAACGTAGGAAGCTAATGGCCACCCCTGTACCACTCCATTCTCTTAATACAGTCCAGCCAGCAAAAAACACTTCCAGAAAGGTAAAAGAAGGGGAACTAAATGACTGCAAAGCTGGAACACTGCTATAGGAAGTGTGGGAATTCTGAAACCCTTAATACGGATTGGAAGTCTGCCATGGAACCCATTAGTTTGGGCAATAACCAGAAAAAGCAAGAAAATAAATAAAAGAGTAAATTCTCCCTCCGCCATTTCGCTGAAGGCATAAGCAAATTTTATTGTTAGAGAAAAATATATACTTACATGAATGCTGCATGTGTGCATGGGAGCGAGTGACCAGCAACAGTAAATTGACTTTCCAATCAAGCCTTATTGAAATATAAATACTAGAAAATTACTCTGTAGACCCAAGTAAATATTTCTAATACATATGTAGGAAGAAACATAGGCAAGAGACTTACCTCAGGATTTCAGGGCAGCAAGTGCCCAATTATCTTTGTGAAGCAAGGATGAAGAAGCATGATGAAGTCAGATCAGCAAGGAGAAACTTCATCTCAATCCCAGGTTTTTATCTTCTTCCCTTATCCTGCATGTACAATAACTGCTACCGGGCAAACTGCAAACAAGCAGCATCGCTCAAGTTTCAAGTTTCACCTCTCTTTTGACAGCTATCCTCTGGCCAAAGGTATTCAGCAAGAGGTGGAACGGCTAGAGCACTGAGTCAAGAGATTACAGTGTTACTCTGGTCAAGTTACTTGCCCTCTCTGGGCTCTGTTTTTCCCCCCATGCATTAAAAAGAAGAGAAGAGAAGCAGAGTGGGAAAGGAGCTCTAACCACCCTTCAGCTCTAGCATCCTATGGACTTTTAAAAGAAATGTAATGCAACTCAAATTAGGCAATACAGAGGAGAAGGGAAAGGCAGAGGGTGTGATTAATCTACGGTGACAATAGCTGCCTTCACATATCTAAGAGTTACCAGTAAAAGACCTTTCAATCTTACAAAGCAACTGTTAGAAACTTCTGCCTAACACTACCACAAATAGGTTCATGGTCAGCCTAAACATGTATACTGTGTATTTTATTGATGAGTTAGAAAGATCTGTTCAATTATTTTTCAAAAACTAAATTTTCAACCAAATAAATTGATATGCAGACAATTCAAATGAATAAAAGAAACACAACTATTGTACAATAACATAAATGAGACTATGAAATGGCAATACTTTTTTAAACCACAGATTTGTAATATATTTGTTCACTGTGCAGAGGGATTATACCTTGTACAAAATAAAACAAATTTCTCAAACTAGCTTAACAAGAATGCCTACTGTTGTATTGCAAATGGAAAACGTGTCTATGATCTATACCTTAGGTTTAAGGGTAGAGCTAACCTACATCTTGTATGGGCACTTTAAGCAGCTAGAAGAGTGAAAATTATTCCCAAGATGCTTGAAAATAAAGTGAAAAAATGTATCAAATTTTTAACAAAGGAGCCTCTTCCTTTATAGCAGCGGTCCCCAACCTTTTTGGCACCAGGGTCCAGTTTCATGGAAGACAATTTTTCCACAGATGGTGGAAGGGGGTGGGGGGGAGAGGCAGAGCTCAGGGGGTGATGCCAGCAATGGGGAACAGCTGTAAATACAGATGAAGCTTCACTTGCTGCCCACCACTCACTTCAGTTGTGCAGCCCAGTTCCTAAGTTTCATAGAAGATAATTTTTCCATGGATGAGGGGGAGGGGGAGGGAGGCAGAGCTCAGGTGGTGATGCACTGCCCAGTTCCCAATAGGCCACAGCCCAGGGATTGGGGACCACAGCTTTAGAGTTAATGAATGGGAGCAACATATTCTTATTCATGTCCAAAAAATATTTTAAAACCTCATATACTTCAGTATACAAAAGTTAGAGGGTTTCTCTGCTTTTACAAATATTTAGACTCAAAGACAAATGTAATAGCTTGTGCTCAGCTTCAGAGGCACAAAGGTACCTCTGGAATGGAGTAAGGGCAACTGTAAGAGCCACCTAATTTCTATAAATGCAGTGAATAACTTTCCACTAGTAGAAGTTATCATCCAGTAGAGTTACTCTGGTACGTCTGTTTTAGGAACGTTAAAAACATAATCGTGTGACCTAACTGGTAAAGCAGCAGCAGGATTAATCTTGTATCAATAATAAAATACAGATAAGCTAAAAAAATAGCTTACTGAGTACATTCGATAATTTTAAAATTTCTCCTTCATACTTTCAAAGATTGGTATATAATCCTCATATTGAAGTCAAACCAAAACATTCCAACTTGTCAGCTCACAAGGCTTATGTGATACTCAAAAGTTACTCCAGTTTAGTAAGATGTTTAACCAAGAATAATATATTTTTGCTAGGTAGAGAAAAGACCCATTCAGAACAGATTGCTAATAGATAATTCTTAAGGGCTGGGGGTTGGCATCTCAGTGAAAGAAAAAAAACGTAATCAAGGCTAAAAAAGTATTTACTGGCCAGGCGCGGTGGCTCACGCCTGTAATCCTAGCTCTCTGGGAGGCCGAGGCGGGC